TAACGTGAATCAGTACTTCATTTCTTTTTATGGCTCATTAATTACATTATATGGATATAACACATTTTGTTAATCCATTCACAGTTGACGGACATTTGTGTTCTCACCTTTTGGCTGTTATGAACAATCTTGCTTGAACGTTCATGTACAAGTTTTTGTCTGGATATGTGTTTCAGTTCTCTTGTGTATATACCCTAAAGGGGAATTGCTGCATCATATGATAACTCTGTGCTCAACTTTTTGAGGAATTACTAGACTGTTTTCCAAAGTGGCTGCACCATTTTACATTCCCACCAGCAATGTATGAAGGTTCCAGTTTCTCCATGTCCTTGCCAACACTTGTTCATGTTTTCAATTAAAGTCATCCTAGTGGGTGTGACGTGGCACCTCATTGAGGTTTTGATTTGCATTTCCTTAATGACTAATGATGTTGAGCATCTTTTCATGTGCTTGTGGCCATTTATTTGTATATCTTCTTTGGAGAAATGTCTGTTCAAATCCTTTGCCCATTTTTGAGTTGTCTTTTTATCATTCAGTCATAAGAATTCCTTATATATTCTGGATACTAGTCCCTTATCAGATGTATGATTTGCACATATTTTATTCCATTCTGGGGGTTATCTTTTCACTTCCATGATGGTAGTCTCTGAAACACAAAAATTTTAATTTTGATGAAGTCCAATTTATTTTTTCTTTTGTCACTTGTGCTTTTGGTGTTATACCTAAGAAACCATTGCTACCTCAAGGTCATGAAGATTTACTCCTGTGTTTTCTCCTAAAAGATTTATGGTTTTAGCTCTTACATTTAGACCTTTGATTCATTTTGAGTTAAGTTTTGTGTATGATGTGAGATAGGGGTCCAGCTTCATTCTTTTGCATGTGGATATCCAGTTGTCCTAGCATCCTATCTTGAAAAGACTACTCTTTCTCCCTTTGAATGTCTTAGCACTCTTGTTGAAAATCACTTGACCATAGATGTAAAGGTTTATTCCTGGACCCTACATTCTGTTTTATTGATCTTCATTGATTTTTAAGAAGAAAAACCATTCGTGTTGCTTGCCATCTCCTGTGCCACCACACTAATCTGGGCCTTCTCTAAGCTGTATTTATTCAGCCTTTTTTGAGTACAGCTGCCAGGTGAATGCTTACAAAGCAGTGCTTTCATCATGTTGCTGCTGGTAAAGAGTAGTCAGTGGCTCCCTACCATTTTTGCATGTGAACTAAACTCCCTTGCTTGCTTTTTGAGGTCCATCAGCTAGCCCTGCCAAGATCTCCATTTTTAAATTCAAGTTCTCTTTTGCTATTCAGGCCTGTTTCTTTTATTCAGGTCATCACATCCTCATTCCAATTTGTGCCTTGATTCTCCACATTCAGTTCCCTTCCCAGTTTAAGTTTTAAGGTTTCCTCAGCATGTTTAGAGCCTTTAATAACAAGTTCAGGTACATTGATCTCTTTCAGATATGGTTTCTTAAAAGAAGCACTTCTGTAAGTGATTTTGCTGCTAATGCAGGACCCAGTTCTGGTTAGTTTTTCTTGCGTTTGTTACATTCAGGATCCCCTGCTGGGTGCTGCCTTCTGTTGCTGTATAACTCTTTTACTTATATGTAGCTCTTCTTCCTATACGTCATATAAATTCTTTAAGGTTAGAGACCATTTTATAATCCTTTCACAGGGCTGAATATAAAGTTGATTTTTAGGATATAAGGGTCTGCAGTCCTTTAATCAAAACCTTTGGGGGCCAGATGTATTTGGGAAATCAGATTTTTTTCAGATTTTAGAAGAAGTACTGTATTTGCATATACAAATACTTTGTTACCTGACAACTCCAGCAGGTGCTAACATCCATGCCAATCCTCTTCTTTTTGCTGAGGAAGACCTGCCCTGAGCTAACATCTATTGCCAGTCCTCCTCCTTTTTTTTCCCCAAAGCCCCAGTAGATAGTTGTATGTCATAGTTGCACATCCTTCTTAGTTGCTGTATGTGGGACGCTGCCTCAGCATGGCCGGACAAGCAGTGCGTCAGTACGCGCCCAGGATCCGAACCCGGGCCGCCAGTAGCGGAGCGCGTGCACCCAACCGCCAAGCCAGGGGATCCTATGTTTAAAGATTGCTATTTCTAAACCAAAAAATGAGTATTTGTACTAAAGTGCGATAAATAAAGAGACTATCAATAGTCTCATATCAGTTCGGGTCAGGTCAGGTGTGATTTTGCTGCCAAATGAGTTATGTTGAGTATTAGTTTGAATAGAGTTTTGAGTTTCAGAATTGTGGATAATGGATTGTGGAGCTTCACTGATTCTAAGTGTACTGTGTAATTCTAGAGTTGGAAAGCGCCGTCTCTTCTAGTGTGCACTGCTCTGTGCCAGTTGACTTCCCTCCTGGGGCTCTTAGCTGCAGCCTCTTCTCCCGCCCATTTGTCCTCTACACCATTTTCCTCATGTCACTCCTCTGTCCCCAGACTTCCGGTGTTTTACTGTTTATTGTCCCCAATGTGTTTGTGAGAAGAAGCTACATATTTCTGAAGTCTCAAAATGATTGTGGAGAGGGTGTGATAGTTGTGTATGTAGTGTTGAGCTCTGGAAGAAGGCATTCCCCTTCTTTCTGCACTGACTTCTCTGCAGGGAATACCATGGTGGGGACCATGTGATGCAAAGGGGTCAGACCGTGATGATGGCATCCAGCCATCTGGATGGACTACTGACGAGGCTTCCAGGTCTTGGCCTGGAAGAAGTTAAGCATTCTTGGCCTGCAGAGAGTTTTCAGACTCATTCAAGACCTTCTATCATCTGGCTCCAGTCCGACTTTTCAGACTTATGAGTCACTGTTCCTCAGATTTAGATTTTACTTTTTTAGATTTTTTATTTGTTTATATTTTTAATTGTATTCTGTCTAAACTTGCCTACTGACCGTCCCATGAACAGCATATAAATGCTTTTCTGGCTTCATGCATTTTCCCCAGCATTTCTCTTAATATGCGACATTTCTCTTCTTATATTGTGTATCTAGTTTTAGATTATCCCATTGGTAGACCTGGCAGTATTCTGAAATCAGAATTGGATTATGACTTATTTAGAGGCCCATGATTTGTGTTTTGTGTTTTAAAATAACTGCTATTTTTTCATGTGCCCTGATGCCTGGTGAAGTTGCCAATATGAAGCCACATTAGATATGCCATATTTATCCTGAGACACACATGGTAGGAACCAGGAATCTAGAATGTTGGAGCTGGAAGGAACATTGTTGGTGTAGTGTTTTATAAATCAGGAAATTCAAATCAGCAAAGCTCCGAAGAGGTTAAGTGTCTTGCCTAGAGGTACACAGCTATGTACCAGAACGTAGAACCAGAGCTCTAGTTTATTTTTCTTGAAATTTTTTCAACCCTGTGTTCTTTCTGTTTAGTGTTAGAGCTGACATTCTCAGTTGATTTTTTTTTCTCTTCTTTTAAGCAAATCTAATACTCTCTATGAATTTGAAAAACCTCTGTCTATTTGGTTTTAACCCATAGGAATGAAAAAAAAATCATTTTGCTTCTTGGTGCCATGTTGTTAAAAATAGTATTTCACAAGATGTATCTGATTAATCAAATCATCAGAAAATGGTCTACAATTAGAGACTAGATAGCCTGTTTTATGCTTCTTAATTTACTAACAACAAACCAATTTAAATTATGCTTTTGGTGTTTAAAGCTTAGTAAGCATCAAGCATTATGTTTACTATGCATCTCCACCTGGAAGCCAAGGTTAGACCACGCCATGTATTACTGATGGTGTATTGACTAGGAGCAACACGGATTAAAGAAAGTGATGAGAAAAAATTAGATGCTGGTTCAGATTTATGAAATTAGAAATTAGGCATCCAGTTGGAAGTTCTTAATTATTGGGGGAAAAAAACCTTCAGGGAATTATAAATTATCGTTAAAACTCAAAGCTTAAGGAGCTTTGGCTCTTTTGGTGTGAATGGAGTTTTTAAAATTTTCATGAGACAGTTTCTGTTCAGGAAAATAGTCACCCAGTGGGATAAATATTTATAGTTCTCTAAAAATCATGCCTGTCTCTCTTGTCACTGAGTAAGAGCTGGTTAGGGAACCTGTGTTCCCTGCAGGTCTTAAGTGTCCTGCCCATTAGACTCCACGTGGCAGAGTTCTAAGCCATATTCTCTCTCAGTTGGATGTTAGCGTTTCCTGTTCTTTTCTGTCATTGTATACAGCCATGCCCCGCATAATGACGTTTCGGTCAACAACAGACCACGTATACAGTGGTGGTCCCATAAGATTAGTACCGTATAGCCTAAGTATGTGGTAGGCTATACCATCTAGGTTTGTGTAAGTGCACTCTGTGATGTTTGCACAAGGATGAAATTGCCTAATGACACGATTTTCAGAATGTATCCCCATCGACACACAGCTGTATTTTAGTTGTTGAGTGTGAATCTAATTTAGATTGTCCTGTGCTCCTTCTTGTGAATGACGCTGAACAAGTTACTTCACTATCCTGGCCCTCAGGTTCCTCTTGAAATATGAAGAGATTGAACTGTGCAAGTCCCTCCGTTTTCTGAGATTCTGTAATTTAGCCAAATACTTTTTTTTAATTGAATAATTTTTATTTGATGTAGCAAGGAATAACAATACTCATAACCAAAAAAAAAGAAGAAAAAAGACAAAAAACATTGCAGCTTTTAACAAGAATCAGAACTTTGGCTTGGATTTCCAGAACTTACAGTCAAGTATTTATGACAGTTCTGAGGGGCAAGGAGAATTTAGGGTAGATTTGTTCAGTGCTGCCGTTTATTCCTTTGTATGCTCTTTAACCCTTGGGAGGATATTTCTGTGTTTATTTTATAGAAGAAAGATGTGAATTTCACACTGTGCACAGCCTAGACTGGACGCTAGGGTCTTTAACTGTCCTGAGCTCCTTAGGAAAATATTGTCTGTGTAGTTTGGTTTGGTATTAGATGGCACAGAACTCAGTATCCAGTGTAACTCTTCCTGTTCTATTCTTTCAGCTTGGATTTGCTTTTGGCAACGTGGTTGGAATGTATCTGGCTCAGAACTATGACGTAAGTGACCATATCCACGTCATCCTTGATTCCACGTAACTAATTTCTAGTGACTTGTATCTGTTGAAGTAAGGTGTGCCTTCTAGCATAAATGAGGTCCATAGGTCTGAGGAAAAAGTTCTGAATTTTGTGGAAAGATTTTCCATTGTTGGAAAAAATAATAGGACTCACAGAAGCATCTGTCCTCCGTATCACCACAAGAGGGCAAAATCCCATCAGTTTAGGTGGTCTCATGATGATCCTGAACTGTGTTTGTTAGCCCAAAGTAATTATTATTTTAGATTCTTACAGTTCTATGGAAAATCATGTGAGAATTTACAGATTAGTTGGATAATCTTTTCAGGCCCCCTAGCCAGTAGCAGAGATGATGGAGAATTTTGGAGATGGACCTATAGAGTGCAGCATGTTTAAGGACAGAGTTTTATGGAGTGGGAGTTGTATTAGTTCACTTTACTGATGGGGAATTTGAAAACCAGGTGACACAACTGCTCGTGAATGGGGATCCTGGAAAGATAATGTTTGTTTTAAAGAGACAAGAAAGGGAAACATGACTAACTTTTGATTTGTTTTGTAGTGAAGCTTTTAGTGTGACAAAGGGAATTCTCTTTGTCAACCTTCACTTGAGTCATATGATTTTCTAGGCAGGGGCTTTATTAATTTATATCACATTTATTATTTATATAACTTTTACTTGGCACTGGATTGAGGGGCTAAATGGGTATAAGTAGAAGTCAGGATCTGGCTTTCAGAAAGGGAGCTGACTTTAACTTTCAACTTCTGATATCCTTCTTATGCAGTTATGAGGCTAAGAAATACCACTATTTAGCAGGCCTCTTTCAGAGGAAAATAAAAACTTGTACAACAATTTATCTTTGGAGGAAGAGAAATAAAATAATATTGATTAGGTAGATGCAAAATTATGATAATCTTTTTTCTCTTTAAAGATACCAAACCTGGCTAAAAAACTTGAAGATATTAAAAAGGACTTGGATGCCAAGAAGAAACCCCCTAGTTCATGAGGCCGACTCCAGCACTGCCTTCTGGATGTACTGATTCTGCTGCTCTTGAGGGCCTCCTTTACCATCTCAACCAAAAGCTTTTGTTTTCATCTCCAGCCTCAGCGCGTTTCTTCTTTGCTGGATGGACCCTGCGTTGCCTTAGAGCACAACTGGGGCCACAATTAAGAACTACCCTTACTTCTCCAGCATCCTCACCTCTGCCCTTCTTCCTTCCAGCCACTTGGGAGGTCCTAAGACTGGAATTATGGTGCTAGATTAGTAAACATGACCTTTAATTAGTAGTCACCCCATTATTCTTTGTGATCTCTACTATGTTTTTTCAAAAGAGAAATGGATGAGTTTTGTATAGCTGATTAGATATAAATGATGCTGATTTCACAGTTTAGAAATTAAAATGGGTGTTTAAACATTTAGTACTATATTACGTTGTTTCAAAGTAATTAAAATTGAAATCTAGAAGCCAGTTTCTGGTGAATTATCTATTTTATACTGTTGTCAGGCAGCTCCATAATTGCTAGTTTAACCAATAAATCAATTTACTATTCATCAACTTGAGAAACTATATTCTGAGAACCCTGTCAGGAACTGGGGAATTTAAAAATACGTAAAATAATGGCCTTTGTCCTCAGTAGAATTCATAGGCTAGTATGCATGTTTTTCCTTAATGATGCGCTTGATCTGGCTCTCTTCCCTCAGAAGAATCACACTTATTATAAGGAGTTACAGGTGCATTTGACATTACATGGTGGATAAATGAGAAGTTATCTATAAAAGAAATTCTATGCCTTTTCACATTAAAAAAAAGTATTTACATTATAACTTTATAGTGATTCTCATAAGAAAACTTTTCTTTTTTGTTTTTTTCTGCAATCAGAAATTATTCTTGTAATTTGTCAAACATATAATCAGTCCCTTTTTTTTTTTTAGTCCATATTTTTTTAATTGGGAAAAAAAAAAGTTTAAATATGTAACTTTTCCCCTGGGTCAAGATACAAGAGTGAGTTAGAGTAAAGGCCCTCCCTCCCCTGTCCTCCAGCACTGTCACCAGTTTCCTGTAAACTTTGAGAAGGATTCTGTGCCTAAACAAACACATGTGTGCACGGGGGTTTTATTGAAATGATAGCAAACTATACACAGAGTTTGCCCCCTTTTTTTAGATGGAGATCATTCAATATCAGTATGTAAGGAACAAAGAACTTCTTTCCTTTTTTGGCTACATAAGGTTCTATTGAATGTATACACCAAAATTTATTTAATCTGCTACTGATGAATGTTTAGCTTGTTTCCTGTCTTTTGCTATTATAGTGATAACCTTGAACCTAATGTTATTTCACATATCTATGCAGGGTGAAGCTGTAAGCTAAAATCCTAAAAGTGTAATTTCCACTAAATATATAGTCCCACTTCATTGGGTGTTTTGTTTCAGAGGGCTTGGGCAGCTTCACTGATAATGCCATTTCTGAAGACATTTTAGCAGAATCAGTAAACTGGGAGAATTATTTGGAGACAACTTTTTTTCAAACAATGATGACACTGATATTATATGTGATTATAAAATAAAGTGATTCTGCTTCTGTTTGAATCATGTATGGATCTCTCATACATAGAGATAACTTTTACCTCTATCAGGTTGTCCTGGGTGTGAGACAGATTAAGATCATATTATGATTTGGCTTCTCTCTAGCAGTGTGATCATAGGCAAGTGGCTTATTTTTCTGAAACTGTTGTATTCTCTGTAAGGTACGGATGCAATACCTACCTCATAGGACTTCCATGAGAAGTAATTGAGATAATGTATATGATGTGTTGCACAGTGCTTTGCAAATTATCCAATAAATAGTAGATATTAGTCCAATCATGCTGCTTTTGGTTAGAGTACTTTGTTTTTCTGCAGTAACTTTCGGTACTAGTTTATGAACCATGCAAAATTTGTCATTATTCTGTGGTTACTCTCTTGGTTGTTGATGAAAATCTATAGTATCCACCTTGATCATACCACTTGGCTCACAAGATTTGATTTTCAGTGACTCAGTTGTTAGGAGAATGAACTACAGCCTCAAAGGGTAAAGGGTTATCATTCTTGAGGGTATTCAAAATGCCACAGGCTTAGAAATCGGTTTCCGAAGAGGGATTCCTTGTTATCAGCCTTGGTAGCAGTGTTATTTGTGTGTGTGGTCTCCCAGAGTGGTTTCTTTGGGCGTGAAGTTCACTTAGATGTTAGAAGATTAGGTCTCTATATATTATAAATTGTAAACAAAGCTCGTTTGGACTTAGGGCTTCCCTTAAGGTCACACTTAACCTCCCTGATAGGATCATTTCTACCAGCGGGAGCCATCCAGCATTTCTGTTCTTGCATTCACCTTCACCGTGTAAACTGCCAAACAGCGAATACAGGCTGACTTAGTGGTCACCATTCAGATACCCTCTCCCAGATTTAGGTTCTTGCAGCAGTGACAAGGAGCTGAGTTCTGGGGCAAGATTATCTTCACTGAGATGTATGTTGGAGGGACACCAGAAAAAATCATGGATTTTAGGGTGTAGTTGAAAGTTTGTAATGTGGATAGGGGTGGTGGTGATTGTGATCCTGGCACTGAAAGTTACGTTCCCTGGGGGGCTTTGTAGGGACCCTTGCCTCACAAATCAGTGGAGGGATGGGAAGAACTACTGCAAGACATGCCTTTTTTTCTTTAAAAAAATGTTTGAAAACTCCTGTTGGTGTGATTTAAGAACTTTTTGCCACACGTGACCATAAAAGGAGGGTTACATAAAATACTACTGAAGATTACTCCCATGTGAAAGAAAGGCTTCAGTTCAGGATTGATGTTGAGAACTTAATAAATACTTGAAAGCTTATCCTTAAACTGCCCCCCTCCCAAACAAAAAATCAAAGGGAGAGAAAACCCAAAACAACCTTGCTTAAACTTATCAAAAGGGGCTATATTTTATGAGTTTAAGTTACTAGTTGACATCTTTAGACTTTTCTTCTGATTTAGTGTTTTACTCAATTAAGCAGTTACCTGCTTCTGATTTAAAGGAGCAATTTTATTTCCCTTTTTCTAATTTGTTTCCTCAATTTTCACTGGTGTGACTATAGAGAAAAGTTAAGGTGTGTGGTTTTTCCAGTTGTCTGTACTTATGGGTTCATAGAGGATATGTACACGTACCGTGTTTTCATTTCCACTGCGCCGTTCACTCCCTAGATACTATGCTGGTGTTTGTTTTTCTGCTGAGGTCTCCCACATTTTTAATCCTTTTTCTGTTATTCCTCCTGAAGGAACCCCATATACTGTACTGCAGTAAATGAGGCTTTTCTGAAACTTCTCATCTTGGACTTTGCATGTAGTATTTCCATTCCTCATGCAGATGAATGAGTTCTCTTTTCCCTACTAACCATTAGGGCCTTGCCTTGTGGAAAGGAATAGGGTGGTGAAGGAAAGTATTTTGAGACCTTGCCTGGTCTCAATATGGAGTTTGTAACACTTAGATTTTCAAGTGTTCATTTTATACCTTTCCTAAATCTGGATGTAACTTACATAGTCAAGTGCTGAAGATCTAATGGATGGCCTGTTTTGCAAGGCACTGGGAAAGAAACAAAAGACCAGAACAGTGAGGTTTTGTGGAAAGCGCTTAGGGCGGGGTTTTGTAAAACCTGAGTCTTTTTTTTTTTTTTTTGTGAGGAAGATCAGCCCTGAGCTAACGTCCATGCCAATCCTCCTCTTTTTGCTGAGGAAGACCGGCCCTGAGCTAACTCTATTGCCAATCCTCCTCCTTTTTTTTTTCCCTTTTTCTCCCCAAAGCCCCAGTAGATAGTTGTATGTCATAGTTGCACATCCTTCTAGTAAAACCTGAGTCGTAAGCCTGCTTGAATCATTGCCTGTGTGGTAAGATCTTATGAAACGTGCAGTGTGGTTGCATCATTCTTACATGAACAGTTGTACAGGATTGGGACAAGAAAAAGGGGCCATGTAAATAGTGCGGGCAGTTGTGCTCAGCATGGATTCAGTGAGGGCAGCCCCAGAATGAGTCACCTGTGCACGCGGGTGGTCTCCATTCCCTTTGTGTTCTCATGGTTCCAGCAATCTTGCTATACTGAGAATGAGTCTAGTGTTTAAACTTTCTCAAACATGGTCCCTAAGGGTGACGCAAACTACTTTATTTGGTGTTCAGCTGAAGAAACGGGGATCTATTCTGACATGGGAGAGAAAACTGGCTATTTTTTGTTTATTAAAAGATGGCATGTGAGTCTTTGTGCCATGTAAATGCTAATGTAAAAGATTGTATACCATGTACTTCATGAGTGACTTAAAGGACTTTCAAAGGCAGCTTTGACTAAGCAAAATTGATGTATAATTGACTTGGGAATAAGATGCAACCTACACTTACTATCTTTGTTTCTCAGTTTCATCATCTGTCAAATAAGCTGGTATAAGATGATCATTTTCAGCTTTTCCATCCATATAGTATTGTGATATTAAAAGATAAAAACTAAATCATAATCTATTTCCAAGAGACACAAGACTACTAAGGAGAGCTCCAACAGTGGAGTGATTTTAGGTGACAAGGAGTTGTTAGTCATATCTGACATTTCCTGTCATTGCAATGAGCAATGAATGGCCTGAATCTCTGGTGTGGGGAAAGAACAGTGCTGTTCTTTAGAGTGGTCAGTAGACCAGACTGAAATAGATGCTCTTTCTGAATTGGCTAGTTGAGTGCATTAGCCACTTGGAGTGCCTGGCAGTGATCATAGCGGGGGAGTTGTGCTGCTTTCCCTTTAGGAGTGAGTCAGGTTCTCAAATAGCTGAACAATGGCCAGTAATTCTGAGTCAGCTTAATTCGAAGTCAACTTTTCTTTCTATTTTTACTTATTTATACTCCCAGAATCTTATTGATTATCTGCACCTTCGACTTATTGTCTGACTTAGAGCATTCATGTCTAACTTCTGTAGTGGGTCAGACATTTGATGATTTGGCTAACCCGACAATAGGAGTAACACCCTACTGACTCTTCTGAACATTTTAAAGCAAAATAACTGTAGAGATGCTGGCTTGATGAAACCAGCTGTCATGTACCTAATATTGGTATTTCATTTGGGCTCAGTAGGTCTTCACTTTTATAGTCGCCAAATAATTTGGCCTAAGCTAATTCACAGGGCAGAAGCAGTAATAGTCCTGGTTAAACCTGGTCAATCACACGCTGAGGTCAGAGTGTGCAAGTGTTGACTCGCACAGAAGAAACTTTACAACTCCTAAGATACTTATCAACTAAGGGAGTGATTTTATTGATAAGTTATTCCTGTAGGAAAACTGTACATGCTGTCAATAGTAACTTAAAATAATGAAAACAGTATAATAACTATGGGGTGCTCTATTTCCCATAAGATGTATTTAGCAAGTAACTGATGGTAGAAATTGGAAATATATAATGCTTGAAAGCTGGGGGCATTGGGAGCTATATCCAGTCATAGAGCAAGGATGTCTGTCATGGAGAAAGTGACACGGTCTTCAGGAGGAAGAAGGAGCCCTTGATTCCAAAGTGATTTTTCTCAAGGGAAACATTTATTGAGCAGTTACAGTTTACTATATTACATAAGTTGCTGGGGACTTGAAGAGACATAAGACATCTCCCCCTCCCTCAAGGGTCTCGTCGACTTGTAGGAAGTGACTGATGTGTTGGACTCTTGTGTACTTGCCTTCTCAGGAATGAACTACTCATTACATCCAGAAGAAAGCCAGCCAAATATCATTAATAGTGCTGTGGTTTAATTATAGTCTTGGCCTCCTTAATAAGACAGGTCTGAAAGTTTTTTCTCCCTCCTAGCACTTAACCAACGCAGTGGTATTGATGGTTAGTGATGAGTGAAGAGAGAGATACTAATCTTAGTGTGTCCTCTCTACTTCCTTTTCCTTTGACAAAGAGAACAGCACCAGCCTCTTTCTAAAGGGGAACACTATTTCTTTACAGGAATTTGGTGCCAAGGTAAAGAGAAGCCACTGAGGAGAGATGCTTAAAAGGGAATCAGAGTAGTGATAAAAGAGTACTGACTGCCACAAAGAGGACTTACTAAGAATTACCTGTTTGTGGAGAGAACTTAGGATAGAAACTCTTGAGAGAGAGTAGCTGACATTAGGTCTCAAGTTCTGGGGGAGACTTTCCCCCGAAAGGGGAGCTGTGACTGGTTTCATTATCTGTGCATAGGTAGGATGGTTTGGATTTCTCTTTCAACTCCTAAAAAGGGATTAAGAAGTTAAGAATAACATAAAACCTAGTGAGCCCAGTCAGGTTGTGAGGCTTAGCCTCTGAGGGGCAGCTGAGACGTCCTATCTTCAGAAAGAATTGATTGGAGAGACTAGATACAAGGAAATGAGAAAGAGTTTAGATTTTCTTGAGCTGTGGTGCTAAGGAAGGAGGGCAGAGAAGACACTAACATCCAAGCATGTGTATTTGGTTGTCGGAGGCTTCTTTTACTTCACTTGAGATGGTAGATGGCGGAATCTTCTGGTGGGGGTTATGTGCCCATGGTGGTTTTCTTGGCCCGTTGGTCAGATTCTCTGGGTGCTGGCAGCTCCTTTGGTTGGGTGGTTTGCCCACTTGTGTTAGGCCTGATCAGTGATGTTACTAACCTGAGCCCAGGCTGGAAAAGTGTCCAGGTGGAAGAGGCTAATTCCCCATGTATTGATGGCCACCATCACAATCACCAGGCCAATGACATTGACCCCTAGGCCAGCTTTCACCTGCATGACACAAACCAGCACACCCTAGTCACTGAGCAGGCAGCAGCACAGATCCCCAAGTGCTCCCCATCCATGCCCTACACCAAAGCCTTGCCCCTGACATGATCACAGCCCACCTGCTTGGCCCTGATTTGTTCTGGTCACTGCCTGGAGTGCTCTAGTGTTGCCTTGTAGGGTAGCACAGGGCTATGGAAGGATGGGAAAGGCAGGGAGGGCTTGGGGCTGGGAGAGGGCCATTAGAATCAGCTCCACTTATAGCATTCTCACTATCTAGTGGAGGCCTAGAAGGTGTGTACTTGGAACACCAGATCTTGGAATGTGAGAGTTACAAGGAAAAGGATCGTGCAGCTACATGATAGGGAAATGTGTTAAAATTAACCAGGTCTCTTTAAAGCAGGAACTTAGAGCCTTTAAGGTGCTGACACATCTGGGGGACTTGTAGGATTGGCTGTATTCTATGAAGCCTTTGCCACCGTTACTTTTTTTTTCCCCTCAAAGAACAGCTCATGGACGAAGTGTACCTTGGGTTAACCTAGGGAAACAGGTCAGCGGCCTCTGCTCAGCCCTTCCACAGGAAGGTGACACAGGCATGCTAGCTTTGCTTCTTTCTTCTGGAGGAATGTCACCTTCGACTCTGACCCCTTCCATTTCTGCCGTGGTATTGACACGCCCAGACTGAAGGGGGATGTGAGGGATGACGATGGCAGAGCCAGGGCCAGATGGACAAATGTACAGTAAGGATAGCTTGCATCCTCCCAGGGAGTAACCAGGCATACAGCGTGTAGCCACAAGTCCACTAGCTGGCATTCAGTTGGGCAAGTTGCAAGGGAAAAATGAATGCTAGGAAATTGTTCCAAGCAAATGACTAGACGTGTCACCTCTCTTTCTGGCCTGAGCCCTGGAATTATTAGTCATCCTGGCCCCCTGGACCTTTGAGTGTAGAGAACCGCCCATGTTTCCCAGCAGGTGAGGGGGGCAGGTTCTAAAGGAGTTAAATTAAGGTTGCTTCTGCTGAAAAGGACCACGTAGAGCATCTAGTTTGAACCTCCTCATTTAGCAGATGAAGACACTGAAGTCTCGAGTCAGTGCCCAGGCTGGGAATAGAACCCAGGACTATCTTGCTTCTTGCCATCTGGTGCCTTCGGAAATTACTGGCTCCGATCACTTGATTCCAGGGTAGAAGGCTGGGGGTGAATGGTGGGGGCACAGAACAGAGGAAATGGGATGGGGGGCAGGAGAGCTGGGGCAGAGCTCAGTATGAGCAGGCTGAGGGTTGTGCAGTAGGATAGGAGGGGGAGAGGGGTGGCTGTGACCGCCCTTCCCTAGGCGTTACAGATGACTTAGATGAGCAGTTGGGAAGGATCTGAATATCTGAGACCCCCACTGAAGCTCTTTGTTCCTTTCCTCCATTTGATACTTACAGAGCTGCTGAGAAGGAGTTTGAACTCTAGTGAAAAAAAAACTTTTTAAACCCTCAGCAAGGGTGAATGGGCCCTATTTCAGACAGTCAGGCCCCAGCAATTTGTGTTGGTTTTTTTTTCATCCTTCCCCCACTTCCGTCAGCCCTGGATATTAAGAAGCATAGCTGTGAGTATAGGTTGAGGAGTGGAAGGTGGGTATGCCCAACACTAAAATCAGCCGCAAAATATCTCCTCACAGCCATCTTTTGTGAGCCCAGCTGAAAAGTAAGAAATGAGAAATTTGCCATGGTTGCTTCAGGGGCTTCTTGCTTGGGGAGAGAGCTGAACATAAGGATCCTGTTCTCACAGAATATCTTTCACTCTAGGTTCATACACTTTCTCATACTTCAACTTCTATGAATAAACCAGCAACTCTTTGAATGAATATGCCCACTGGTCCAATGAAGAAACTGAGGCAAAGACTTGTGCAAGCTCATCCTGTGTCTGTTCCAGCTCCCTCTGTCCATGTACCACTTTCTCCCAGATAAGGGTTGGGGAGAGCACATTGTTGCTATTCTTGGTGCTTATGGACCAACCGAAAACCTTTTTACCAGTACCCTTCTTTCTACCACGCTAGATTGAGTGTTTTGACAGACCAAGGACACTGCTACAAAATAATAAACTTTAGGAGAAAGCTGTGCAGCCAGTCATCCCTGTCCTCATGGCAGCTGGGCCTGGCAGGAAGAGGGCACCCATGACTCACCATATCTTTGATCTGGCAGTGCCCATAGCTGAAGACGATGGCATTGGGGGGATTGCCCACAGGCAGCATCACTGCAAAGGAGATGCACATGGTGACGGGGATCAGGGTGTAGAGTGGATTAATGTGCAGTGTTTCAGACTAGGAGAAGAGAGAATTCACAGAAACATTAGCGTTGACATTAGACTTGGCATTTCCTGTGCTTAACATCACAAACATGTTTTAAGTGCTGGCTTGGTGTTGGCTAACCTTGGCCGGACACCATGTGCTAGGAGTGGTTAAATCACTGTCCTCAAGGGCATGCAGTGCTGGCCAACCCAAATGCGCTCATGCTGCTCACTCACTTCCCACGGAAACACGGGCTTTGAGTTACTTCCTAGAAGGGATGTTTCATTTCTTGGTGCTGGTCTAATTTTATTCTTTAGCTGAGAAATTCTTTCTTCAAACTCAAATCTCATGAGTAAGCTGCTTTGATTGAAGTAGGGATACTTCACCCTTGGGGTGCAGAACTAAGGTTTTTTTTTTTTCTAGGTAAGATGCTTGCTTTATATGGCATTTGAGACCATAGTGTTGCCTTCAATGTTGCCAAGTTTTAACTAAGTGCACTCCCATGCTCACACAAACGAGATGATGGAAGGGAGAAGTTGGAGGGAGACATCTGAGCAATGAGCAAAGAGCGAGGCTAGGGGCCAGTTTGGGGCTAGAAGGAGCAGGAGGATGTTACTTTGTTGGGGTTGGTCATTTCATAGGTCCCACCTCACAGAATGGGACAGATGCTTCATTGTGTCTAGTGCATTACCTTTGGGGCTGCTTAGCCAGACTAAGATCTGGCAGTTGCTCCCCTTCCCTATTCCATTAATAACAAATGGTTCTGAGACCGCGGAATGAGGCTGGCCTTGCTCACAATTCTCAAAACCTCCTGAACAGAGAAATTGGGTGGAGGTGGTGATGATAGTTAGAGCTGTGGTCTTGGTCTTTGCAGCTGTGTGTATTTCTGGGAGCATTTTTGCCTCCATTTTCTGTGGCTCTCTGGCCCTACTGTTGCATCTTATCTCAGAAGAGAAAGGTTGATGATGATTGTGGGGAATTGAAATCCTAGGGTTTTAACGTTATTTTGTTCATTCTTTTGTTTTGACTCAGGGCTGCCCCTAAACTAATCCTAATCCTTTGGAAAAGGTTTCTAGAACCCTTGCTGTGATTTATTAATTTATATATTTACTTCTCAATTGCTATTTAAAGAACTTGATTTTTCAAACTATGGCTTGAACGCCGATCAGTGAAGGCTGTGGCAATGACCAGAGGAGAGAGTACAGCCATGGAACTGCTCCCTGCCACCTCAGGCCCTTGGGGCAGCCCATCTAGATATGTGGGAGCCCTGTTCTACTCACCAGGCTGCACAGGATGGGCAAGAAGATGGTGATGGTGGCAGGGTTGCTCACAAACTCCGTGACAATGGACACCAGAATGCATGCCAGCAGGGTGACAGCCCACGGTGGGAGGCTGCTCAGGGACAACATCTGGTGCCCAATCCATGTGGAAAGGCCTGAGCTCTGCAGGAAGACAAGGTGATACAGTTAGAAGAAAGGGGGAAAAACACATTCCCCATGGAATTCTTAGACTCCAGAAGGTCAGGGATGTTGGGGGGCTGGAAGGGACCACCAGGAGGCATCCGATTTGCCTCCCTATTTTCAGGCAGACTGGAGCCAGCAGCATTCCTGATTTTTATGGTTAGAACATTTTTGTAGCCCAGAAAATTCTTTTTTATGATTGTACAACATTAAGTCTTACGGTCTCCTGGTCATTCGTCATGGGGCATGGAGAGCCACCCATCCTAACTGCCATGATCCTTCTTAGGACTTTGCCATGATGGGTTGGCAGGGATTGGAGATCTGTGGGGCCATCAGCCCCTCAACTTCAATCTCATTACCCATAAGCATAGTCACTTATGGTGACTAAAACAGCCCCAACCTGTTTTAGGTTCAAATCCCATCATGGATGACATCAGGATCTGCGATCTGCTAGTGCTTTTTGCTACACAAGATATGAAGGCATATTGCCACTCTTGAACCTTTTCCATGAGCAACATTAGAATAATGTTAGGATAGAATAATTCATTTGGCTGGAAGCTGTTGACCTGTCAATGTGAGGACTCTCCCCCCACCCCCAAAAATGGAGGGCACCATTGAGTTTTTGTATTGAAAAACCCCATGCTGCCATATGCATTCGCCTGCCCTCTCTTGTCTCCCTTCTATGGTTGACATGCTCTGACATTAACTATTTACCCTAGAGAGTGCAAATGCAATAAAGAAATGGGAGTAGGGCAGAAAGCAAGGTGAGACATTTTATGATTCCTTGAGCTGTAAGTCCTACTCATGTTTCACTATTAAAAACAGTCTCACTACACTGTCAGCAGGCTACCTTTTCTCCTCTTTTCCAAATTCATCAAAAGCTCATTTTATCTCCAGAGCACCCGGCCACCTCATAGACAACTGATGACCAAAAGCCTTCAGAATTTTCTCTGCTGTAGCCATTTTCACCTTGGAGCACTCTTCTTTCTTTGTTCTCTCCACTTGAGAGCTGCAAATCCAGTTATGTGGGCACTACATCAACTAATGGTTGGTACAGAACCTTGAGGCCTATAGGAACTCGGTAATTGCTACCTCTTGTTACACATTAAACCTGGCTTATTGGCAAAGACTGGGGAAGAAGAGCAGTTAGCTGAGCAGAAACAGTACCTTTTATAAAGAAATGGAATTTTATTCATCATGTTATTCAAACAGTACTCATAAGTAAAGTGAAGTAATTTAATGGCAATTTTTTTCCAATAGAACTGTTTTATACTATAATTTGAAATAAATTGATAAATTAGACTGCAAAGTTAGAAAAAAATACAAGAAAGAAAGTCTTAATTTTTTAAAACCTTGATATGGAAACATTTTACATTGGATTTTCCTCACTAATGTCAAGACTCTGAAATTATTTCATACTCGGTAGGAATCACGTATATCATACCCGAATTATATTATTAAAATTAGTAGAGTCAGTAGGTGTTACAGAAATATCAACTATACTATCTGTAATACATGCACAGTTTTGGTTAAAAAAAAAAAGTCTTTCCAGGCTAGACTCAGGAGTCAAAACTAAGAACTGAAATTCAATAAAGATAAATAGGATATCCTGAACTTGGAATTAGAAATATTGACAGCACAAAAACAGGACTAGTTTTAGGACTTGAGGTTTCATAGTGGCTAACGATTAAAAGAATGCAGGGTTTTAGTTGAGTGCAATTTCAATGTAAATGTTGACATGAGTGCCAATGAAGCCTTGTAAAAGCTTCCATAAAAATCTCGGATGGTGCTTGGATCAGAGATGAGAGATGGGGCTTGGGTAATATAACTACTCTGCTCTGCAGTAGACTGACCACTTCTGGACCATGTTTGAATAAGGCCAAGGGCAAAGTGTGGTGAGTCCTGGGGCGAGAGACCAGCATGCTAAGAGGTCACTACTTCTATGAGGAATGGTTAAAGGAACTAGGGAGTTTTAGTTGGAAAAAAAGATGATCTAAGGGGATCTAATGACTTTCTTTATTAATAATTATTACCTCAGACAGGGTTCCAAAGGACAGAGCAAGAGCCAACAGTGGAAGACATTCAGAAGACCTGAGCTGAAAGTAAAGAACAACTATTTTTTGTTCCCTGTGCAAGGAGTCCCTGTCACTGGTGGTGTTCAAGCCAGGGGTGTCATGGAGGGAAATCTTACACTGAGTAGGAGATGGGACTCAGTGTCCTCCAAGGTTCCTTTCAAGTGTAGGATTCTGTGACCTTATTGTTAGCGATGCTGATGGCATTTAGGCCCTCACTGAGGGGGCAATCAAAGGTGAGCCAAGTTTAGAATGGGGGAATGTATATAGAGAAGGTGGAGGGAGAAACAGTGGGAACCTTAACCTGATTCATTGGTAGGGTCATTTTCTATTTCAGAAAGGGCTAACACTTTAGGAAAAATTCAACTATTTTCCACCAGCCCCCTTTAAAAGATCTCATTTCAAATCCTCCCAATCAGGAAATCAAGAAGCATTTATATCAGCCTTAGCATAGATTATCCAAAGGGGCTCAGTATATACATATGGACTGACTGAGGGACAATTTACTGTGTCACTTGGGGTGTCTCTGGGCCCTTACAGACCCTGTCTCCTGTCACTTATCACCACTGTCATCCTCAGAAAGAGATGGCTACAAAATCCAATAAACCTTTCCTTATGGCAGTGTGGGCCCGTAAATGAGGTATGAATGCCCGTGTGCCATGACTCTGTGGCACAGCTGATCTTTAACTCTCTGTTCCCAGTAGTGCTAGCTCAGGGTGGGACAGGATATTCATCCCTGGCTATATTGCTTCCCTTCCCAGTGACTTGGGTGAACATTCACCTCTCCCTCACATCCTTTGAATCTTCTCTCCCAGAACCGTAATGACTCAGGTAAAGCTGCTGGAAAAATATTTGACCCAATAAGAACAGAATTCAAGAGTTACCTTGCTGCCAGAAGCCAGAGCATAGCCTCCTCCCACCAGAATGACAATCTCCCAGGGCATGGTCTTCTGGAAGTCCTTCCACGTGATGATGGGCTCTGTCCCCAGTGAGGGCTCCCGCTTCTCCCCTAGATCACAGGTAGATAGAGAGGTAGATAGATAAACCCCAATGGGGGGGATTTGTGGAGATAGGGGCCCAACTGATGATCTGGATGATTTAGGAGGCTGCTCTGCTATTTTGGGGTGGTCGTGGGGAGAATCAGAAGGGCCTTGGTTAGGCTCCTTCTGAAAATTCTGACTTGAGTATTGGACTAGAGCCAGACCCAACTTCTTCCCTTGAACTCCTCTCACCATCATTCTTTTTCCCAAAGCAAGGCTTCTTTGCTGGAATCAGGAAGAGGAGGAAGCCAAGGAAGACAGAGACCGTGGCGTCGGTGCGGTAGCCTTTCCTAGCAAAGAGACAAGCAGGGCTGGAGGAGAAGGGTCAGGAAGCCTCATGGGTAACACGAAGTCTCAAGTCACTCTGTCTGAACACAGTGCCTCTTTTTAGCACCTCTTCTAGAGAGGACGTCAACCTTACTTCTTGCCAGTTGCTGCCATGCTATCCAACTGTGGATTTAATTGGCGATGGTTAATGTTGGAGGCAGGGCCTGGCTAGGGTAGATGTCTTACTGTGAATTTATGAGCCCATTAGAAGGAGTGATCAGAAGTTATTTAGATAAAAGAGAGCAGAAAAGGACGAGTCCTCTTTCCTGCCAGAGTCATACTTCCATGTGTGTCTTTTCTCAAATGAGAACCTGGTGCTGAGGACCTGTGGCCTGTGGCCCGGCCCTCGAGGGAATGTGCAGGGGAGGTACAGGAGCCTGTGTTTGCGTCTCCCTCCACTGGCCTCAGCCACTCCATGGCCAGCCTCTTTACAGCTGGTATTTTACTTTATAGACATTTTCTCCTTTAACTCTCATAACAACCTATGAGACAACTGAGGTTCCAAGAGCTTTAAGGAACCAGACCAAGCTCACACGGCTGGTAAGTGGCAGCACCGGATGGCAACCCAGACTCAGATTCCAAAGATTATTTTTCCTCCTGACTCCACACTGCAGCTTCCCTAAAAAGAGGAGACTTCCGAGGGAATGAAGTGCTTCCTGGGTTCATGACTGCCCCTGAGAGTCTGGAGGGGACACCAGTGGGAACTGCCTGAAGAGTTTCGGTGAGGGGGTTGTTCTTCAGGAGGAGACGATATCACTTACTTTTCAAAGAAAGAATCCCAGCCGGGAACAAAGCCAGGCTCCCGGGTAAACCACAGCACGGTCATCAGGATGAAGAAAAATCCAGTCACCATTTCAGGGTAGCTACAGCATAAAGCAGAAAGACTCGCTCCAGGAACGGGGAAATTTCTGTTAATTTTTTCACTTTGCTTCAGGATGCTCCTGTGTTCAGAGCTCCAACACCGGACACATAAAACCAGTTACCGCTTCACCACTCTGAACGGCTGACTGTGAAGTGGGAAGAGGGCTGAGATGATGCCAGAAAATATTACATTAACCATGCTTGCTAGAGAAATCTAGGTGGGAAGGGAACAATAACACAGCACCATACATTTATAAAATAAAATACAGAATGCAGTGAAATGAACCCCTCAAACACTGCCAGTGGGGGTAGGAATTGCTACAACCTTTCTGAGGCAATTTGACGATATATATCAGGAGCCTTAAATTCAGTCATTCCTTTCATCTAAGAAAATAAGCAGAAATGCACATTGAAAGATTACCTATTAAAAAATTAAACATTAAAAAGTGGAAACAACCTATATATCCAATGATATTTCATGACGTTAAATACATGTTGGTATAAATATATTTTAACATGAGATGCATCTAAAAATCATGTGTCCACAGCAGAATTAATGACCTGGGAACATAATGACAGTCTAATGCTAAGTGAAAAAAGGCGAGAGAGAAAACTGTATTCACTATGGACTGAATTTTACCAAAAATACATAGAATTTTGCACAAAAAAGCTTGGAAGGAAAAGTACATCATGTTAACAGTTGTTAACAGTTAACACTCGGATGCTAGGAATGCAAGTCAATTTCAATTTTTTCTTTATATTTTCCTGTGTTTTCTAAATGTTCTACAATGAACATGTATTCCTTTTATAAATTAAAGTTTTAAAAATTACAGCTTATACCTTTTACCCAAAGTTGTACATGCCCATTGCCATAAAAGGAGAAACAGCCCTAATATAGAATGCTGGGTTGCTGTGGAAAAGCTGATGGACATGGCTGAAGGTTGGTGAGTGATTTCTTGGACCCTCTGCCTTAAGTCTGTATATGATGCTGCCTGATGCTCTAAATACAGTACAAAGTCCCCAGCTCCCAACAGTGGCCACAGGATCTTGGGGTGGCCCATTCTGAGCAATGTGAGGAGTGCTGACTTCAGAGAGCATTCAGCCTGTCCCCAGATGGTGGCCGTGCTGTCCTGCGTTGTTCTTTCTCCAGCAGCCCCAACTACGACACTCTACCCCCAGGCCATGGCTATACCTTGGACGCGGAATATAGCAAAGGGAACGGGCAGCCATCTGGAATCAGCCAGCTGGACTTTGGCATTAAATAACCTCTCTAAATGCCTGGATTCATAGTTGTGGGAAATTCCCCCAGCTCAAAGAACTGTGGAGAACAAGGCTGCTTCTGTGCTCACTTTCCCTGCCACACTTTCCTGGGGAAGGAGAGAGGTGAATGGCTGATTTTTACCTAATGGCTCCCAGCTTTTCATATTCCTCTTGGATCCTCTTCTCTGACAACTCTTCCCTTTTGGTCTTCTTCTTCTTGCTCAGAGAGCAGGTCTCTTTAAAACTGAGGGGAGAATGAGCAAAAGAGTAAAGGAAACATGCTTCTGAGGCCCGGAGGAGATCAGGTGTCAGGCAAATACTAGACCACTGGCTTGCTGTGGGCACTTTTCTCCTCTTCACTCACACGCTCTGCCCCTCCAACCCCACCTATCGTATAACTTTTATTTGCCAAGTTTCACAGCCTCTCATCAGTCTTCTCCCCTAGCCTTTTGGTATATCCCTGTGGTATATCAATGTGAAGTTACATCTTATGGACTTGTGCAAGTGTATTTATGTGGGGTTGTTTCTCCATGCTTGTCTTTTACATAAATGAGAGTCAATGTGATGTGGCATACATGTGTAGATGTTTATATGTTTGTGTGTTTCACACACACGTATGTGTGTGTGTTTGTCTAGAGACAAGGCTTATCTGGGGTGAAAGTGGGTTGTTGGTTTACTATTAGCAACACTGGAGGTATAGAAGTATACAGCTATCATTGAATTGACAACAGTCTCTGAGTTATTAAAAAAAATGTCAGCTCAGAGAACATTCCCTGACCAGTGGGAGCCTTGGGTTCCGTGGACTAATAGGAAAACATCATACATATCTTCCTTTTATGTGTTTGAAGCTGATCTAATTTGGAGTAGTTACTGATTGTGAAGAAAAGGTTTGCTAAGCAGGTTAATATTAGAAATAATATTGCAAGAAAAATGTCAAACTTATTATTTTTAGGAGTATAAGCATTTTCCATACAACTAATAAGTATAAATCACTCATGTCTATAAAGTTTAGCCCAAGGCAACTTCTACCTGGAGTCATATTACTTTAGAAGTTAGTTCAAATTATTCTGTATGCTTTAAGAGAAATCAAACTACATTAAACACTCCCCAACTCAGACTTTTTATAAATCAGATAGTTCCTCTAACCAGTTAGTTGGAATTAAGAACATTTCATTGTAGAGCTTATAGTGAAGTCCGTGTATGTTTAGAGTCCACTGCGTCCTCCTCTGAGCATCCTCTGTGGTTACTCGGCAGCTCCCCCTTGAGCGGCGCCCTCCAGGGTTCGTGCCATGGCCTTGGATGGACAGGAAAGCCTCACTGCCTTGCTGGCAGGGCCCTGGGACTCACTTGCAGCCCAGAAACAGCCAGTGCATCCAGAACCAGCTGACTACCAGCATGATGAGGGAGATGGGGAAGCTGAAGAGGAACCAGGTGCCGAAGTTGACCACCTCTGCAGCTGGGTACTGGCTGGAGGGGAAAGAACCAGGTCAGCGATTAGAAGGGTAAATTTCCATGTGGTATTTTGGGGGTAATAAGCTAAATGCTCCTTAAGAAGAGATACAGAGGAGCTAACAGTGGAGATAGTGATAACAATATGGTGAAACATTATCTAGAACTCACTTATCTGACAGTTGCAACTGTACAGAGCCCAGCCAAGAATTATAAAGTAAAAAAAAGGCATCTAAGCAACCAAAATAGATATCATTGAAGTGTATATACTTTGCTCTCAGGAGAGTCACTCAGGATCTCTTTGCTCTTAATTCACGTAAAGATTCTGATTAAGTTTACTCATCTGGTTTTCAAGACAACAGAGAATGGAGAGAGCAGTCTGGTGTACTTTGTTTAAAAGTCACTGAAAGAATGTGAGTTTTAATAGGGGGACACAAGGCACCAATTCTGGAGAACTTTGGACTCTAGAGCCTCCTGAAGGTTCCAGGTGTTGACTGTGCCCATAGGAGAACCATGACTTGGATTCTCCAAATCTTTTATCGACATCCGCTGCTGTCTTAGGGTGCCAGGGAAGTTGCCTGGAGGACTCCTCGTTCACCATTGGGCAGAGCTGTAGCCCCCAACCCAGGTGTTTCCTGGGGAGCCAGCATGGACCCCTGTGAGTCATGACTATAGCCTAGACAAGGCCTGTGTTTCTTTTCCCTTGGGCCTTTCTTGTGGGACTGGGCACAGAACTCCTCTAAGGTGGGAGGAGACTGTGCCCCTCTTCACGCGAGGCACTGCGTGGAAAAAGAAGGGCCAAAAGCAGGATCCCCCACAGAGAGAATGCAATGGAAGGACAGGATGCAAGAGTGTTTCATCTTCTCTGTCATCGCAGGGACATCTACTGTGGGCTGGTCATGGACTTACCTTTGCTAACATCCATGTGCCTCTTGGGGAAGTTATGACAGCTTGTGCCCTCCCTAAAGGCCAGATTCGGTCACTAATAGTGGGGACTGGGAAGAAGGGCTTTTCAAGCTAGATGGACGCTGGAGGGCACAAATCATTCAGTGACTCACTATGGGCTGCCCTGGGCTAGAAGGCATAAAGTCTGTGGCATCATCTCTTTTCTGTACATAAAAGCCCAGGCCCTGCTCCTGGATCCAGGAAAAGGAATGGACATTTAGAATAGATTAAATAGACTTTTGTGGATAAATGTGAGGGCCTAATGCCATTTAGAGCACTTTTATTTTTATTTTTTATTTATTTATTTTTTAGAGCACTTTTAAAAGTGAGAGTATATATACTGAGTGTAACAACTAATTTGTAGGTTTTTTAAACACAGCCAAAATGAACTCTGGGGGTGGTATGTTCACCATGTCAAGAAAAACAGCATGGTGGCACTTTCAGACCAGTGGGGATCCAGGGAGCCTACCTTCCTTTCCTAGAATCCTTATTGTACAGGTAAGCCACAATTATGACTAAATGTACCATTTCACGACCCAAGAAGTAGACTATGAATATGAATTGGCTCAATCACAAAATGAACCAGAAATTAAAGAGCAGAAACTCAGAGCCTGGACAGAGTAACATGATGTGAGGAGTCCATGAAGCTCAGATCCTGGAGAATTAAGTCTTAAACTTTCATTGGTCTTTCCCCCTGCCTCCTCCCCCGCTTCCTCCCCTTTCCATCCTTCTTTCTTTCCCTTTCCTGCTAAAATGAAAGGTGTGTTTCTTCTCTTGTCCGTGATTAATCTTTACTCTTTGCTCTGGATCCCATCCCTTTTTGTTTTCTCAGTGACGTCACTCTATCAATCATCTCCTCTTTCCCAAATCTAATTTTCCTCTCATCTGGATTGTCCCTATCAGCATTTAAATGTCTTCCATCTTAAAACCCCTGTCTTGACCCTTTATTATCTCCCTTTATTCTCATCCTGTATCTTTCCTCCCCTCCACAGCCAACTCTCCATTTCCTCACCTCCGTCTTACTACTCAACTCACTGAAATTTGGCTTCTTTTCCCACCACTTGATCAAATTGCTTTTGCCTAGGTCACCAGTAACCTCTATGTCACCAAATCCAAAGGATACATTTTTGCCCATATTTTGCTTAATCATTCAGCAACTTTAAACAATGTGAACCACTCCTTCCTCCTTGAACCACTTTCTTCCCTTGGTAGAATGACACGAGATTTTCTTCTTTCTTGTCTGATACCCTGTTATTCTCTCTTTGGTAGTCTACTTTAAATGTTCCAGCTTAATAATTAAGCCCCCTGCTCCACTCACTCTACAGGTTCTTCCTGAGTAATTTTCACTCTTGTGGCTTCAGTTTCCACATGCATGCTGCTAGGACTGACACCATCTAATTTGTGGGGCTGAGTGCAAAATGCAAGTGTGGGGCCCCTTACTCAAAAATTATTAAGAATTTCCAGATGGTGACAGCAGAGCATTAAACCAAGTTTGGGGCCCTTCTGAGCATGGTGGCCCTATGTGACTGCACAGGTTGCATGTCCATGAAGACAGCCCTGCAGGCCACTGACTTCAAATATATGCCTTCAGCCTAAAAATTTCTCTTGAGATTCAGAGCTATATCTCCACTGGACATCTCAACCCCTACATCAACATTTCCTTATCTTTCCCCTCATTTAGGTCAAGGGCAACTCTGTTCCCTCAGCAGCCAAACCAGGAGCCTGACACTCAGACTTGGCCTTTCCCTCTCTCAGGCTCTTTCTAATCTAAGCCAGTCAACTCTACCTCTGAATTTCTCTCAAATCTGACAATTTCTCCTCTCCACTGCCACTGTTGTCCAGCCCACCGTCAGCTCTCTGCCGGGCATCTGCAGCAGGGTCCTAAATTGTCTTCCTGCTGCCTGCTTTCTCCTTTCCAAGCCATTCTCCATTTTTTGTGTGTGTGAAGAAGATCAGCCCTGAGCTAACATCTGATGCCAATCCTCCTCTTTTTGCCAAGGAAGATCGGCCCTGGGCTAACATCCTTGCCCATCTTCCTCTACTTTATATGGGTTACCACCACAGCATGGTTTGATAAGCGGTGTGTCAGTGCACGCCCAGGATCCGAACCCTGGGCCGCTGCAGCGGAGCATGCCCGCTTAACCGCTATGCCACCGGGCAGGCCCCACCATTCTCCATTCTTTAAATCCAGACTGAGTTTTTAAAGATTTTATTTATTTATTTATTTTTCCCCCCAAAGCCCCAGCAGATTGTTGTATGTCATAGCTGCACATCCTTCTAGTTGCTGTATGTGGGACGCGACCTCAGCATGGCCGGAGAAGCGGTGCATCGGTGCGTGCCCGGGATCCGAACCCGGGCCGCCAGCAGCGGAGCGCGCGCACTTAACCGCTAAGCCACTGGCCCGACCCAGACTGAGTTTTTAAAACTATAAATCTGAGACTGAGTTTTTAAAACTATAAATCTGGGGCTGGCCCCGTGGCTTAGCGGTTAAGTGCGCGCGCTCCGCTGCTGGCGGCCCGGGTTCGGATCCCGGGCGCGCACCGATGCACCGCTTCTCCGGCCATGCTGAGGTCGCGTCCCACATACAGCAACTAGAAGGATGTGCAGCTATGACATACAACAATCTGCTGGGACTTTGGGGGGAAAAATAAATAAATAAATAAAATTATTAAAAAAAAAAAAAACTATAAATCTAATCACCTCACTCCCTCCCTAAAATTCTTCAAAGGCTTCTCACAGCCTTTTGGGTGAAGTCTAAGTTCCTTAGTGGGCCTTGCGAGGCCCCTTGTGATCTGTGTGTCTGCCTCCCTGCCTCCTTTTGCCCTCTCATCATTTTGTTTTATGTGCTCTGCTCCCTTGCCTCTGAGCCCTCCTACTCACTGTTGTCTTTGTCTGGAAAATCTCCCTTCATCTACTTTACTCTAATTCATGCTTCAGGTCTGTACTTTCATCATCACCTTTTCAGGAAGGCATTTCCTCCCTCTGGGCTGGGTGAGCTCCCCCAGCAGGGCTCTCCTGGCAGAATCCTGCCCTTCTCCAGTTCCATTTAACTGTAATGACTTGATCGTCTCTTTTCCCTCCTGGAAAAGAAACTGTTCTAGTATCATTTTCTGCTGTATCCTTAGCACTTAGTCCCATTCCTGACACATAGTGGGTGGTTAGCAAATATTTGTTGACCAAGTGAATTACTTACTTGTTGAAGTGTTCCAAGAAAATGAGGCTGGTGGAGGTGCCAATGATGGTGGTCAGGCCCCCAATGGTGGCAGCATAAGATATGCTCAGAGAGAGGCACTTGCAGATCATTTGGTCATGCTGGGACTTGTACTTTCTGTTGAGTTCCTGGTTCCTGGGCCTGGGGGTCAGGACTAGTGGCTTTTCCTACCAAAGGAAAATCAGTGAGTCTCTCCAACCCAGCTCGGGCTGTCCGGCACTCAAACCATGAAAAACAGGGGCACCGTGGTGCAGTGGAAAGGTTCTGAGTTTAGGTGTCAGAAAGACAAGTCCCAACCCCAGTTCTACCACTCACCAACTTGGTGGCCCCACCAAGCTGCAGTTTCTTTTTCTGTAAAATAGGGAAAATCCTATTTTCTCTGCCAGATTGTTGTGAAGAGTAAATGAAGTAATATATCTAAAGCACTTGGAACACTTCCTGGCATTTGATGAATGGTAAGCTATAATTATTTTTGTTGTTGTTAATATTAACAGCTTGTACTGTTTTTTACTTAAATTCCAGTAAAACTGGTTGCTCTCCACTTTGTGTTTGAATAACACATAAAAGATGGTTGTTCTATCTGGAGTTAAAATGACAGTGCTGATTGGGAGATGACTAAAAAATAAGCCTTGGATTACAGAAGGAATCTAGCTTTCATTGGGCAGAGGGTCGAAGTGGGTTTCTCTCCTCCCTTCTTTCCTGACTTATTTTTCCTTCTTGCCCATTGGCCTTTCCTCCCCCTTGCACATAAGCCTTGCCACGGTCCTTGCAGGCTCTGCTTGGCCCAGGTGATGTCCTTTCAGGGTCAGAGTTTACTGACCTCTGGTCTTAAGAGTGGACTAAAGAAGTGAGTGCCATCTGCCCCTCCAGACCTGGCCTGCCCTCACTGAGTCTTCGTGAGACTGGGAGCAGCCTGGCCCAAATGTCAGCAGGCTAGGTCATAGGAAAACCATGGGGAAGAGGCCCCGTTGCCACATTTCTTAAAGTCCTTAACCACTGCTCTATCTTCCTAGGAGGGCCCAGGTACGTCTGGACCCTTCCAAACCTTCCTGAAAGATTCATTAATTATCAGAGCTGGAAGAGACTTCATAGATTCTCTGGTCCAGCGGTTTTCTACAGTCCTTTCTTCTAATGAAATTTTACCTGGACCTCCAATATATAAAACATAAATGTAGCATTTAATTGGCATACGTTTATTTTATAACTGAAAGTAGAGACATATGGTCAGGGAGACTTGGATTTGAATCGAGGGGCTCCTCTCACTAGCTCTGAGGCCTTGGGCATGTGATGTCATCTCTCTGCCTCATCTGTAGACATAGAGTTCAAAATTGTTACCTCATTGAGCCAAGACTAGAGAGAAAATGCTTAGCACAGTGCTTGGTACATAATAAATGTTTAATAAATGGTGGCAGTTATTTATGATGATGATGAATGTGAAATAATTGAGATTATGCTGATGAACACAGAAATTTGAAATTGAGAGTTATAAGTGATGTTTGCAATTTTATACCTTACAGCTTCAACATCCATTTTACTTCTGCCTTTTGTTTCAGTGGAATGGTACCAGGGAAATCCTTATTCACATAGAAAAGCAGTTGCCTTACAATCTCAGGGTACTCAAATAAAACATTTGCAATGTCCCTGAAGGACCTTTATGGAATAGTTTGAACAGCTCTGATCTAGACCAATCCTCAGCTTTTATACTTGTAATTGGGGCTCAGACAGTAGAATGACTTGCCAAAGTCAACAGTGAGTTAGATGTTTTATCTCCATGGCACACGCAGGCCAGACGTATATGTGGATAGAGTGCTTGGTGACAGCTCACTAGCCTGACGCCCTCACAACTTCAAGACCAATGGCCCTTGGAAAGCTCAAGGCATTTCATGTAGGAAACAGGGTCAGGAGGTGCAGTTGCATTACCTGGGGTGGGTGCCACTTCTTGCCCTGGTGGTTTGCAGTCTTGACAGGATTGGTGATTGTGGGCACACCATTCAGGTTCTGTCGGGACAAAGACCATCACACTAATCAGGAAGAGGATGTGGAAGAACTCGACAAGTACCACCCCATCGTCCCAGGGGCGCCTCACACCTCAGCCCTGTGGGAATCAGACCAGAAGCCAGGGAAAGCATGCAGTTATGAGCCACCCCGACTATGCCTGCCTCCCTTTCACAGGTTCCCATCCAGCCTGGTGTCAAGCACCCCATTTGAAGTGGCTTTTGTAACTTGGCAGAACATGGCTCTGTCCTTATAGGAGAGCTTGACTTTCTGGAACTTCATTAGCTAATGAATCCTTCATTTTTCTTTAACAAAAAGAAAATGAAAAAAAAAAAATCTCACCATAACAAAGTCCACAGTTTGGACTGACCAAAGACCACAGTTTGGACTGATGTAAGAAGAGATGTACAACCAGATTCAGGGGGAGGGAGTGAGGCCGAGTAGCAGTGTGCAGGTAAACTTTGCTTTCCCCTATAAAGCAAACTTTGCTTTCCTTTCCCTTTTTATAATACAATTTTTGTAAATGGAATCCCCACTGCAAGGAATCCTAAGGGAAAATCTGTGGCTCTTGAAAATCTGGATGGCTGAGTACTGGGTTTCCATGAAAAACGGTTGTCCTGTACTTTATGTGGCTAGACCCACTGGGGTTCAGAACTCCCCAGGCCCACGCCAGGAGCCTGTCCAGCCCTCCTTATGTCCAGGCTTATGTGAGCACCTCTCTGTTCTCACATCAGTGGAGGCCACTGGGCTCTAGGACAAGCTGCCAGGCATCTCTGTCCCTGAGTTATCTTGAGAGACTTTCAAGTAACCTCAAAGTGCAGGAAGAACCCAAGGCCATACCTTGTTCTGCATCAGAGAAGTGAAGTCTGCAGTTGATGTGCTAGAACAAAGCAAAGGACATGAGAGAAACAACAGTGGTCCAGACTTCGTGAGATGGGAATTCTCCCCACACATGGCCGTTTGGTATATTGACCTCTCTAGACTCTGGTTTTCTAGGCTACAAAGAAGAGGAATCTCACCCTAGTCTTCCTCGCCTTCTGGAGATGCTGTCAGGATTCTTGGGGACGGGGCCTGCTCCTTCCTGAGGCCAGGGCAGTGCGTTTCCTTTGAAGTGATACTGACACTCCTAATAATGGCTAACATGGACTGCTTAGTGGGTGCCGAGCACTCAAATAATGGGCTTAAATCCTCACGACACTGTTAATCCTCATAACAGACCGATGGTGCAGGTCACTACGTGCGTTTACAGCGTAGGAAACCAGGCAGAGAGGTTACCAACTTCCTGAGGGCACTGGGGCGCTAAGTGGTGGCTCCGGATAGGAGCCCGTTTCCCTCTGCCTAGACAGCCTGAGCCCCTGACCACGTCCTCACTGGCTGACTCCATCACGGTCACTATCTAGGAAGAAAAACTTGTGAAAGGCTTATCTGAGGCAACAAGAGCAGAGAGGGCCCTGACTGCACGTGGTGAAGGGCAAGTGAGACAAGAAGATGGAGAATTTCTGCTCAGAAACTGCACCTCAGGGGTGGCAGTTGACTGTGCGTGCTGAGTCCTTCCACACCTGCTGGTCCTAGCCTTTGCCTTGAGTAGAGAGGAAGCTGAGGGTTTAACTGTCACATTACTGACTTGCACTGAATACTAATGCTTCTGGTTTGTCTTAGTTCTGAGGGGGGTGGGTGCTACGAGCTCACCCACCGTGAAGACAAAGGAGAGGGGCTGGACACACGTGCAGGGCGTGGGGTCCTGTAGCCATCACCCGTCTCCAGCTACATCAGGGGAGGATACAGGGTTGATGGGGGTTCACAGGGGAGCATTCTTTGGAGAGAGTCGTTAGTCTGGGAGGAGTAGAGTGTTGTGACGTTTCCCCTCCCTCCTTCCCAAGTCGGGTGACGGGTGATGAGGGCAGGCAAGGAGCCCCTCAGCCAGCATGGGAGGAGCAGGCCGCCCTCGAAAAGACTGCCATCCTCACACCACCAACAGCCCCAGCTCCCTCCAGCACTCAGCTGAGAGAGTTCTAGGGACAACTGAGTTTTTGCTTTGGAATTTGGGGATACATATTTGTGTCTGGAAAAGAACAAAGGCAAGAGGCCAACGGGCACTGCCTGCGAGGCCAGAGTGAGAAGGAAAGAGTCCTGCGATGGGAGCAGCCTGTGCTTTCAGTGTTCAGCAGGGCAACGGTGGCTGGTCTTGTCAAGGGTGGGCGCACTGGAGGGTAGCTGGGCTAGAGCCATCTTGAAAAGGCCCTGCCGAAGATGCAGAGGTGACCGGAGCAAAGGGGCTGTGGGGAGTGAGCCACCAGAGCCCAGAACTAAGGGGAGGCCGAGTGGTCATCCAGGAGCACCTGACTACCGCCATCAGGCCTGCGGCTATGCACAGGTGGCCTCAAGGGGACACTCCAAAGACCTTGAAGGTAGGTGCCCAACAAGTGAAAGAGCCAGGGTCTGAATCTCAGAGAGGACACCAACCCCACTCTACAATTCCTCCGGCCCAGTCCCTTTTTGCCCCTTTATCTTTCCTGCGCCCTACAGCCTCTGCCCTAACTCTGGAGAAGTCAGAAGCAGCTGGGTGAGTTGTGAGGGGCAGAGGAGAAGAGGGAGGTGGACGAAGAGTGAAAGAGGAGTTGACTCTGTCCCACTGACTTTTACTTCTTACTCTGCAGACCTGGGCTGAAGTGGGTGGGTGTGAGCATAAGAGGAGGAGGAAGGACCTCTGGATGAGAGATTAAGTTTTGATGTGAGTCTGGACTAGACTGCTGAATATCTGAAAATGAGATTGTTCTAAAATCTGAAAGGAACCAGAAGAACTATGGGATTTGCCTGCGATATCATCAAGGGCCATGGAGGGAAATCCAATATGGTACACCTGAAGACTGTGGTGGGAGGAAAATGAAGCCATTTCCTGATGGCACCCTTCTGTGTCCATCCCGTTACATATGCTGGTTTCACTCAATGTGAGTTCTCCATTTTTTATGAAAAGACCAAATTACAAAACTGAGCTCTATTACAAATCCAGCTTTTAAAGTGTAATATTAATCATAGTATTCCTTGAAGACCACATTTTGATATAGAATCTCCAAAAGAAATCAGCTGTTAATGGATCTGTTTCACATGAATGTTTGAAATTGTATTTCTCCTTTTTTAGCTTCTTTCTACCATCACATGGCTCTCTCACCAGCTGTCCTCTAATCCCCTACCTGTCACCTAATTTTTCTTTGCCATATCTAATGAGACTAAATCTAGTAAGACCATATCTAATATCTATAAAATCCTTTGTGATTCTCTAAGAAATCTCCAGTGACATTTATTATGCGAGTGTTTTTCCATTAATAGATTAAACGTATTATTCTCCTAAGAGGGACATCAATTTAGATGAAATTCTACTTGGGAGATGTATGGAAAATTCACATACCCCTCAGATTCAGTGTAGTCATTTTTTCTCTTCTCTCATCACTGCAACACCCTGTGGTTAAGGGAGCTGCCCTCAAGATCTTGGCAAGGGGCTCTCGGGTGTTACTGGAGAGGAAATCGGGGCAGGAGAATGTGGTGGTGTGGCGAGATGTGAGCTTGGCCCATACATCTGAAAGAGCTGTTTAGGGGCTCAGGCCCCAGCTTTCCTGACCCCTGGAATGGACCTGGAGAGGCTCTGTCCGGGAGAAGGGCAGTCATACTCACTCTTCATTGACAAAGATGAGTTCCAGAGAAGGTTGGCTGTTGTTTACATCAAGACCTACAGTAGCAAAGGGAAGCAGGAAGTGAGATGCGGAGGCTGGAGCTGACCCTGTGGGTCAGAGCATAGTTCAGGGGCTCAGGAACGAATGGGGAAACAAGGGCATCATAAAGCCTCCTGCTGGAGGCGTGGTGCACGCTGACCCCCCTTCCCTGCCCTCTGAAGGCATGGTGGGCTCTCAGGTATAGACAGGCCCAGGGTTTTGTCATAACCCTTATGCGTTTGGGAGAAAGGAGCAGTGGTGGCTGCTGTAAGTGGGAAGAGTGGGAATGGGGGGCCACAGGGAAGATTCAGGTTAGCAGGGCTGGTACGGGATAGAGGGGAGGGAAGGGGAAGCAGCAGAAGATGCAGGAGGGACATAGATGAGGGGGTTGTGGCGGGGGCACCGAGCTGGGCAGTATCAAGAGGAGGGTGGAGGAGCAAAGGGGAGATGAACTCCAGCAAACTGTACTGATGGGCTCGGCCTCTTCGGCGCTGGAGTTGCCGGCCACGAGCTGCTCCTCCTCGGCACTGACCAGCTCCTGCAGCACGGCCTCCACGATGGGCATCACCATGGCGGTGGTGGACGTGTTGGAGAGCCACATGGAGAGCAGCGTGGTGCAGCACATGAAGCAGAGCAGCAGCCTGGAAGGCGGGCAGGGCCGGCAGAGCATGGGCACTGTGGCCATCTCCCAGGGCCCAAACTGTCGACCTCACAGAGCTCCTTCGGGGCCTCCTACAGACCCGGTGGTGCTGGCCTAGAGAACCGTGGCTCGCATTTATCCAGAAAATCAGGTTTTTATGTCATACAGGGCACCATTTGGCTTTGTACTCCCAGGGCTTGGCACAGAGTAAACATTAAATAAATATTTGTTGAACGAATGAATCACACTTCCTGGGCTACTGGCCGTAGCCAGAAACAAGCCCTTACTTAAGCAAAGGACAGCTTTGGTAGTAGGCACACAGGGTGTGGACTTACTGATTGCTTGTCTCTCCTGTGGACATTAGCTTGGTGATGAGGTGTGATTTTCGTGTATAAGGGATTTTTTTTTTTTTGCCTGTGTGGCCAGCAATTCCATGAATACCATTACATTCCTTGTTTTGCAGCCAACCTACTGTCGTTATTAGTGACCAAAGATGAACGTATGAAGCTCACAGTTCTGCCCACTACTCGTCCCAGCTGAAACATGCTGAAAGTCAACATGCTGAAAGTATAGCCCTCACAGTCACAGAAGTGTCCCATAGCGCTGTGTGCCTTTTTCAGCTGGTATCTTAAAGAGTCAGCGCCTAGAGGAAAACACTATTAAACATAACTCTCAAGTGATTTCTCTTTGGCTTTGAAAACATGGAACGTGTGTTTGTACAGACTTGGTTCTCATTTCCATGAGGTAAGCCAATATAAAGACTACCCGTGTTTATTACTTTAGGTGGAATCGTGGACTTTGCACAGTTTGGGGACAGCACATTTATCGTGTGGATTATGTCTGGGTAAGCCAGAGTCCTGATGGTGTTTTTGTTTAGGCTGACCACGATGTGAGTTTGCTTGCCCCAGAAACGCATGGCCAAGAGAGCACCATAGGGGTGGAAGCTCACTGGGGGTGAGGTAAACAGAGACGAGTGGAAATGCAATGGGGTAAAAATTCTTGAAGCTAGTACCCCGAGGTTTTAAAGAGCCACAGAGTCCCAATACAATGTGAGGAAATGTGATTGTGTGCCTAGGAGGTTGAGTGTGGGGTACAAGATTATTACTGAGTGAAGGGGTGAATTACGATAAGCTGTAGTTAAGTGGGAGATGGGACATGTATTTTAAGGATAACCTGTATTCATCTAAATGACTAATGTTGAAAACTAATCCTATATTTTTTATTTATACTCTATTGGACTCTTGAAGGAGTCAGGGCTGCTTACATAAAATGTTGCAAGAAAGCTGTAAACTAGAAGGAGGTGAGAATGATATTCCAAAGGGAAGATAAGGGTAGGTCTATCCAACGGGGCAGAGGTGAGGTTAACACACAACTGACTTTCCTCCTGACTTTCCCACACATTCCCCAAGGCTGGGAATCCCTCCGCTGGCCTTCTTGACAGCAGAGAGAAAAGAGGAAGCAGCGGAGGCCATGCAGTACATTGCAGACTCTGGGTCAAATGCAACATGTCTAACAGGTCTGTGGTCTGGTTCAATGACAACAAAAACTCAGGGTGATTGGGAGGAAACCCCCAAATCTCCTTAAATGACAAAGGAGAAGACACCACTTCCTTGTCCAGCCTGTTCCCTGATACACCGGAAAAACGTTGGGAAACAGTTTATGTTGGTCCATCTTGTTTTACCTAACGAGGCTCTTATATTTTGTAACCTGCTGCCCTGCAGCCTAGGTTGCTCGGGTAAATTATTTAGATCGTGACAGTCTAATCTATCACAGGCCCTCTCACTGGAGGGAGAGGCTGGAGCCTGTGGCCCTGGTGTCATCCCATCCCCACTGGTAGAAAAACAGCCTGAAGTGAACATCCCCCTGTGGCCCACGACCACTGACCAGGTGGCCCCCTGGGAGCTGGGTGGATGCAACACGGCCAGGCACTCCAAGTGCAACTTACATGCCTGGCTTGGCTCCGGCCATGATGACCATGCGCAGAGCAATGCGCTTGTGCAGGTTCCACTTCTCCACGGCAGCCGCCACGCAGATGACGCCCACCAGCAGCAGCGTGGTGTTCTTGAAGTACTCTGCTGCCACCTGCGGGAGGCCAGCGCAGGTCACCCCCTGCCCCACCCAGGGCCCAGCCCGGCCAGGAGCTCGGGCTATGCCCAACACAGCTCACTCTCAACTGAGCCTGGCAAACAAGAAGCAGGGAGATGAGGGTTATTAAAAAAGCCAACTGTTATATATATACATATCTTAAATTTTTTTTTAAGATATGATATCATTTATGATATGAATATGATTTCAAAGAATAAACATACTTATAATTTTACCTTAATCGTAAAAAGCTATTAAAATAACCTTGAGTTTGTCCCCAGATCTCATTTTTCTCTTTTTCAGCTTTTTAGAAAATTATGTTCATTTTTCATTAGAAAATTAATACATGCTCATTATGGAAAAATTCAAAATATAGAAAAATTTAAAGATGAAATTACCCTTAATCTTACTTAATACTTTGGTATAGTTTCTTTAATTTTTTTATGTCTATGTAGATACATAATTGGATTTATACACTATGTACAGTTTTATATCCTGCTTTTTAAAATTTTACATCGAACACTGATCATTTTCTAATGAGGCTTAAATTTGCTGGAAGAATCCATGTTAGTGGTAGCATAATGTACCATAGAATTTTTTGGCCATTTTCCTTATGTTGAATATTTAGGTTGATTCTTTTTTTTTCCTGCTACAAATGGAGCAAAGAATAATTTTCTGCTTAAATTGTTAACCTTATATAAATGTGATTATTTCCTTAGGATAAAGTTCTTGAAGGTGTCTTTATAACTTGCCTTAAACCTAAAAAAAAATTTTAAGTTTACATAACTCCAAATAATTCCAAAGTTTCAAAGAGTTCCAAAATGATAATGGTACAAGGAGTATCCATATACTCTCTGTGTCTACATATGTTTTTTTTCTGAGCCATTTGAGGCTAAGTTACATACATTTTGGCCCCTTACCCCTAAATACTTCAGTGTGTATTTCCTAAGAATAGGGATTTTCTCTTACACAACCACAGTACCAGTTATCAATTTCTTCCTGGTTTTTAATGATGAGGAAATTCAGATGTAGGCCTGTTAAAAAGATGTTTCATATGTTTGGACCCATGCACCAACTCTTCATTGATTCCCTCCCTTGGAATGCTCTCTTCTCATCTCTGCACAGACCAATCAGACTTCAAAGCCAGTTGAGGTCTGGTGCCCTCCAGAAAACCTTCCTTGTGACTCTGGTCTCTGACTCTAGAACATTCCCTGTGGGCACCATGAAGTCCACACCTCACAGAGCACTAGGGCAATGCTTGAATTGTTGCTGCATGACTGTATTGTTTATTTTTTTTATGTGTACCGCTCTTTTCTCTTAACTAAATTTTAGGCTGCAAAAGGACAACACAATGTTTCTTTCTAGATCTCTTCACACCGAGTAGAACAATATGCAAAAGAGGATGCTCAATAAATATTTGTTACATACATGAGAACTGTTCCCCACAGTGGAACCATGACAGAAACTGAGAGGAAAAGATATAGAAAACTTTAACCTCTGATTTAGAAACCCTCTTAAGTGAGAAAACAAGAACACTTTTAACTGCAGGAAAAATAAAAATTGAACAGGGAAGGAGATGTATAGTGAAATATGTAGCATTTGAAGTAAACAATATTTACATAATCATACTGTTAAACTTTGATTTTGGAATTAAAAATGGTGATATTCCTGTATTGGGAGGATGGAGGCAGGGGAACTGGGGCATGTAGGAGAACAAAGGCCTCATCTGCAGTAATTGGAAGTCAACTGATAATGTCTAAGAGTGATAACTCGAGAATTAATCAGAGAATAACATGTAGGGATGTGGACTTGAATACCAGCAGAAGCAGTTAACAAGGTTAAAAGTTGTTGACTCTGGGGGTGGGGAGGTGGGACTTGGTAGGGGGTGCAGTGGGGGTGGGTGGGAAAGGCGACTGTTGGTTTTTCATTATCAGCTTTTCAGTATTATTTGATTTTTAAACTCTGCACGTAACACTTTGATAACATAAAAGCCAAAAGAAAGGCAAACTGCTCCATTTCCCCCTTCTCTCTTTGGCCCCACAGAGATGGAGATGTCGTTCATCTGGTTGATCAGGTTTGTGTAGCAGAAGGATCATCTCTCCTCTCTGTGACCGTTTGCTGGCAGCAGAGCCCTCTGCTTGTGGTTAATCTAGGTCTGTCCTCAACCCCAATCCCCACTTACACTGTCACTAATGTTCCCAGAGGGCAGAGAAGGCCGCCTGCTCTGCTGGGCTTGTGTTTCTGGGGCAGAGTCCCCTCTGGGAGGGGCAGGAAGGCCTCTGGGCTGTGACCATGGGTGGAGATGCTGCCCCCTAGCGAGAGGTGGAAGCACCGCTGGGAACCCTGAGGGCTATGCTGAGCTGGGGGCCTAGGACCACTCTCACTGCACCTTACCTACCCAGGCTTGTAGGAAGCAGCTCTGTGGCAGAAGCAGTGTTTTAATTTCCTCTGTCTACTGAGGAGGGAAACGCACAGAAGACATGAGCCATGTTGTCCTGGGTGACAGTCTCTCCATGGCCCCATGACTCTCAGCCCTCTGCAAAGCTTTTAAAGAGTCACTGGTACCAGGGTTACTTCCCCAGGGGACTGACTGATGGCATTTTAGTTTTCTGCCTCTTTGGCACGTGTCATAATAGAACACCAGTTTGTGATGGCCTTTTAGGAGGCTCAGAGCCTACATGACAGATGGGGTTACTTTCTCTGAGCTCCTTTTAAAGGGAAGGAGAAAGGAGCCAACATGTATAGAGCGCCTTCTACATACCAGGAATTTTGCATTTTGCATTTGCTGTCTCCCTTAAGCCCCACAACAGTCCTAGGAGGGAGGTACTGTTGGTGTCTCACTTTGCAGGTGAGGAAACAGACTCAGAGAGGTTAAGGAAGGTTTCCAAGGTCACAGTGTGAGGGGTGGAGTCGGGATATCAATCCAGGTCCATCTGAATCTGAAGCTACTAGACAACACGCCACTTAGGATGGGCCAGCTGGAAACCGCTCATCTAATCCAACTCTAGGGCAATTTTCCTGGTCTCCCTGATAGCACAGGCCCGCACACATTTGTCATCTTCATTCATAATCACAGTCCTGACACTGGCCTTAAATACCTGGGCCTGGCCAGTGTAAGCTCCAGGCCCAGCTTTAGCTGGATCTTGGCCCTGTGCTGTTTTCTTATTTGGTGTTTGGTGGGCTCATGTCTATTCACGTGCCTTCCTGCCCCCTTGTAAGCGATGCCACGTGCTTGGCTGCTGCAGCCTGGGTGTAGTTTGTGATAATGAGGTAGCACAGTCAAATGGGGGAAGAGAGAGGGCTCTGGAGTCAGCCAGGACTCAGCTGTGTGACCCTGGGCAAATTATTCAACCTCTCTGGGCTTCATTTTTCTCATCTAAAAAAAATGAGGATTCTGTGAGTCCCTACCTTTTGTAAAGCTGTTGTGAAGCTTAAAGGACACGTGCAAACCAGCTAGCATGGCCCACCACAGTGACAGCCAGGATTCCTGGTGGCTCTTCCTGTCACTAAGCGGTCCCCACAAAGGCTGGCCTGGTCTGAGGCCATTAGCACACAGAGAGGGCCCAGGCACAAGGCTGCCTTTTCCCTATTATGAATAAAATCCTGTCCAATGGTAGTGTTTGTTAGTTTTCTAGTCCATTGATTTTTCTTTTACAATAAAACCTTGGTTTTTCAGAACCCCTCTGGGAATGCCAGAGTTCCAGGGTTCTGGAGGATTATTTTAATCGTTTTCTAAAACATGTGTGTGCATACTCATGCTTGCCACGAGCATCCCTTTCCTCGCTATCTAATTTCTGAGACTAATATTCTGTGAGTTGGAAAACTAGATAATGAAGCTTGTGAGTGCATGGATTTTGTGACATTTGCCATGGTGGTGTTATTGCCTTTCTGCTTTTCTGCTCTGTGGTTTTCTGAGGTATGCCAAACCACTGAGCTTGGAGAACAGAGGTGTTTCTGGGCTGTGGTTTGAAGAGAGGGGCTCTGTGAAAAGGTGGAGCAGAGAATGGCAATACTTTGGGCTGAGTTCTGACTACCTGGGTTTAAATGGCTGCCCCCCACAGATGAGTTGTATGCGCTCGGGCAAACTACTGAGCCCCTGTGTCCTGTTACTCCAGCTTTTCAGTGGCGACAGTAATGATACACAGCGTCATGACATGGGCCTTCAGTAGGATAACGCAGGCAGGCTCCTGGAACAGTCTGGCATGTGGGAAGTGCTCAGTGAATGTCCATTATTATCATTAAAGAAATAAAGAAGATAAAAATCTTCAAGATGAGATTGAGGGTTAGGAATCGCGTAGGCCAGCGTGACCAAATGAGGGAATAAGAGAAAGAAATGAATTAAGAGGGAACAAGTGGACCTAAAAAACAAAGATTCCTCCACGTTTTCTTAAGTGAAGGCTGGGTGCTTTGGAAGAGCTTTTGGACCCAGCCTGGATGGAAAAACACAAGGACAGAAGTGTTGGCGAATGTGGTCTGTTAACTAACTAGTTCATTGTTAGTGAATTGCAGGCGGCATCGTTAGTAGTGAGCTTTTAAAAACACTACTTTCTGTGGACACAGAATTATTTATTGCTCTGTAGATATGTTAGGTTTATAACTTAAAAAAAAAATTTTTTAAAAGGGGAGGGGGGAGTTGGGGTTCTATTCCTAGAAGTCTGAGGAGAATGGAAATCTGGACATTAATCTCAGATCAGTGCTTCTCTCACTAAGAATGTTTGAGTCTTCCTCCCTGGGGCCACGTCCACCCTCCACCAAGAAAGACAGAGACAGACCCACCAATCATTCATGCCTCTGGGCGCTGTGATAGCACTTGCACACTCAGCATTGTCTAAAATCCTCACATCTCCCCACGAGGTAGGTATTTCCATTATTCTCATTTTTCAGATGAGTAAATGGCAGTTTAGAGAAGTTACACAACTTGCTCAAGACCAGTTAGTGACAAAACTGGATTCAAACTCAGTTCTACCCTGCTCCCAACTTGGATCCTCACCCTTTCC